TCGCCGGAGGTCGACGCTGGCTGGGTGGCGCACCTTTTGAAGGTTCTTTGAGGTAGGAACGCTCTTTTGTTGACGGTTGATTGTTGTCAAAATGGTTGTGAGGTATATTACTATTTGAAGTATGTTAACGATACGAAAAGACGAGCCGAATGAGAGACGCGGCGCGATCTCTGACGAACTTGGGGGAGGGGATTTTAATGTTCAAGATCGATAGTCTCTCGGAAAAGATTCCTTATCCTCTGACAAATTGGGATTGAAATCCTGCGAGGAGAGAGAGAGAGAGAGAGAGAGAGAGAGAGAGAGAGAGAGAGAGAGAGAGAGACATGCGAAAATCCTTCTTGTTCGAAGTCGTTTCGCGCCGCTTCGCTCGCGAGAGCTCGGCATGGGGAGACGAGGTGGAAAACGTGCGCTCACCCGATTTCGGGATCCCGCCGAGAGGGGCGAAAATTAGTGGTAAATGCGAGCGTGTAACGTGTACGCGCGACGCCGCGATGTAAATTTGCTTTGACGTTGTTGATCGTTGCGTGTGAGTTCGTTACTAGTCCATGGACGACGCGATTGCTTTATAATTCCGCAACTGTAATTGATACGGCTGCGTCGAAAACCGGCCCGAGTCGATTTCATTCCGACCAACGTTCAGTTTCTCAAATTTCATTTGGAGAGAAAGAAGTCGTAATTGTCATTATTCGTGCGATGAAATGCAAATTAGACAAATACAGAAATAATAGCTAAATAATCGCTTCTTCGAAAGTTTCAATTAAAGCTGATTCGTTTGTTTCTTTTTTTTCTTATTTAACTTCTTTCAAATTGAAGGGGCAATTCTTAATCAATGGCATCAAATGTTGCATTAAGAAAATTGCATTAAGAATCGCAGTACTTACATTTTCATTTGAACAGACAGAATTTAATATCTTATTTCGATATATATTGTAACATTTATGTTGTTATTGTTCTTTTACATGTATAGAAAAAAAAAAAATTATTCGTTGAATTCTAATTATAAGAGAAATTTGTGATTGCGAAAAGAGATAAGAAAAGTAATTGAAAAGTGCGACGGAGGCCAATGGAAGAAATGCGTTTTCGCGCAGCGCGCGATTCCCTGTAAATTGTTATTGTTAATTATTGTCACTTATTATGCGATTAAGACGAATTAGAAACGCCAAAGGAGGCCGAGCGCCTGATTTAGCGAATTATTCTGCGAGCGCACGTTTTCCTTGCGTAAAGACGAACGCGACGTACTCCGTTTCGTCTCCGAAAAAGAAGCGTACAACTGGCATTAAATTATACGCGGAGTCTGGCCCGACGATACATGGCGCCGACGACGAGGAATCGATGGCGAGGAGCCGCGACGCGTCGTCCCGCGTTTCCTCGGAGACCGTTCTGAGGGAACGCAGACGCCCCGTCCACGGCTCGACCAGACTCGGCGGAAGAAATATGAGACTGATATAAACCAGTATTCGTGCGAGAAATTGCAAATTGCGAGAAATTGCGCGGCATAGCCTTAATAAGAAAAATTAATTAGGTTTACTCGGCGACCGAATGGTGTCGGTCCCGCGAAAAATTATATTCAATTGGCTGTATAAGTGAAAAGGGAAGTAAGTAGGAAAAAGCAACAAAAAAAAAAAAAAAAAAAGAAATACCTCTCGTCGAGGGTCGACACGTCGGGAAGATCGAGATGTCGTGTCGTGAAACGTTGTCTGCCCTCGCACGGCGATGTATCTAGTGAGAGTATAATGTTATTAGGTAAACTTAAGCGTACTTTAAAAGCGAAGTGCGGAAGGAGAACGGAACGCAATGCCAGTTGTAAAACGGGATGGGTCGGGAAGGGGTAAGGGGGGGGGAGGGAGGGAGGTATTAACGCGAAAAGAACGTGTTCCGATAATGCGAGATTCGTCCCCCAGTGATAACAAAAGGGATATTCGCGGGAGGGAAAGAAAGACACGGGAAAAACGGCACCGAGATCACGGGCGGAAGGGTGGAAAAGTGAAACGCTAGATAAACAACAGGCACGGGACACGAGAAAAGCGATATGTATACATATATTATAAATGTGTGTGTATATATATTTTATTAAATAGCGTGAACGCGTATTTAACTTTCGGTACGGGATTTTCGTTCTTTCATTTCCCCCCCTCCTCCCTCCCCCCCCTTTTACGTTGTTTGTTTTTTGTTTGTCATTCTTCGCGGTACCGTTTTTCGGGGACATCCTGTCAACGCGTTCCGCGAGATACGATTCGAGTGTACACACTCGCACACGCAATGCTGTTCATGTGTATACGCGATAGACTATTTCGGACTATGGATGCGGGGGACAAAAGGGAAATAGAGAAACGACAGCTTTACCGATAGCGGGACAGTAGTTATTTGCAACACGTGCACACACACGTATAACACACACGCATACACATGTAAAGCGATCCAAGCGATAAACACAAAAAAAAAAAAATTGTATGAATATAACGTTTGCAGTTAGGTGGGACCAAAAACGACTTTATATCTCTATGTGCATATCCAAGCAACGTGTAATTTAATTAATGAATTAATTAATTATCCATTATTAATGACTAGGTAAAGTAAAAGATCCATTGATAGCAATCGAGAACGATGACGAATGATTAACGAGTAATTAGTCTATTAAGTTTGTTTATTGATACGTTATTCTATGATATAATAATTATTATTATTATTAACTTTATTGCCTTTATTATTATTATTTTATTATTACATTGATTAAAATGACGATGATAATATTATTTAAACAATGTTTTAAGGCGATTATCTAGATATCGAGTAGAGAACAGTACGTATCTATAATTATTAATTATTTTTAATTATTATTATATTCTTATTATTATTATATTATTATGAGACATTTTGTTGTATTATTTTCAATAAAATCGATTGAAAAATATTCAGTTTACCAATTGGTTAATTCTCGCTTCTCCGCATGTATCGTGCAACTGCATGTTCCTAATTTCTTTCTCGTCTATTTGCTATCTTAATAATGCAATTACGTTTAAATATGATATTAAAGTCAAAAGTAATTTGTAAGCAAGATAACGAGAGAAATTGAAACATCTCATTGTTCGTACACGGGGTAGCGCGCCTTATCCTAAAGTCCGTTGCGATCTCAAAAAGAGCATTGTTTGCGATCGCGGAAGTTTTCTAAAATTAATAGAGGCTGTTAAATATATTAACAAGGGTAAAATACTGTTAAATTTTTTTAATTGACTATTTAGATTTTTTTTTTATAATTAAGGTGTTCTTGAAGTGTTCTCTAAAGATT